GCTGGAATTTACCCAGATGTCTACTAAAGTTGAGTGGATAAACTGTGTTATGTCCCAACAGAATACTGCTCAATAAAATGAACTGATACATGCTCCCACATGGAAGAAGTGGACCCCAAAGTGTTTACATCGTATGGTTCCATTATATGAAATCGAAGAACAGACAAAACTAATCTATGGTGATAGAAATCAGAAGTGGCTGCAGGGAAGTAATCAGAAAAAGGAATAAGAAACTTTCTTGGGTGATGCGTTCTACTTCCTAAAGTAGTTGATAAACTGTCAAAAGTAACTGAACTGAACACCTAAGACCCATTTATCTCTTACTTGCTAATTATTTTAAATGTTTTGATCATGTAGAAGGGATGTTGAGTTGTGCACACAACTTACCAGTCTCCAAAAGTGCTTGCATGTGCTTGGCAACAGGAACAGTGTGGGCACACTAGTAGACCTTGGTGAGAAGATCTGAACTAAAGCTTGGCCATAAACAGTATAAACTAAGGAGATATTCATTTCAAGTCTTTAAAAAAGCTAAATTCATTCCTAAGGGCTTTGTCATAATGCTCCTATTCTATTGTTGGATAGCCCTACTACACAAAAAGGCAACCTGCCAGTTTTTTGATGTTTTAAGTCTAAATGTCTGAAACTAGATGTCCATCTCAAATGCAGAAAATAGAAAGTTAACAGACAACAAAGATTACTAAATTGGGCTTACCCGTAAATTTAGGATGATCCAAGGACCAAATAAGCTGATATGCAGAATGTACATATGTGAAATAGTGCATTATTTTGAAAAGGTCCTCAGCCTCCAACAAGTTCTCCAAGATTTTAGAACTGGAATCCTAAACTAAAACTGACAACCCTTGGTTCAGTTCATAAAATTTCATGAATATACATACACATATAAATATATGCATAAATTATACATCATTCTTCATCTTTTTCAACTCCTGATTCTGCCAAGGAAGAACAAGGGGCAGAAGGTTTGACTTGCTTTATTGAAATCATACTGTTTTAATAAACCCAGAATAATGTCTGGCTTTTTTCATTGTTAGTTTCCTTTTTCTACAATGTTCTCATAAACCAGGGCATATTTATAAATTACATTAAAGGGAACTTTATGTGGTGTTTATTGTTGTTCTCTCACCTCTTTTGACCATGTTATGTTTACTTCATTGAAGAAGTTCTTCTAAAATGTACCTGGAAACCTTCCATTTGACCTCTTTCCTCTTGAAAACTCATTTTCATTTCTTTACCTAACTGGGACTTAGTTAACATTGTTTTGATTTTTGTCTTTTGCAATAATGGGGATTGAACCTAGGAAGGTCTAAGCTATAAGCTTAAGGTATAAGCTTTTTTAACATTTTATTTTGAGACAAGGTCTCACCAAGTGGCCCAGGATAGCTTCAAACTTGTGATCCTCCTGCCTGAGCCTTCTCAGTAGCTTGGATTATAGGGTGTCCACCACCAACTGGCAGTAACAATTTTTGCCCTTCCAGTCTTCATCAGAATGTCACTGATAACCCCAATTTAGCCAAAGGAGAAAGAGCCTTAAGAGTCAAACAAAGAAATTTTTTTAATAGATATATGTGTAATTTTTTTTGTACTGGGGAGCAAACTCAGGACCTTGGGCTTGTGAGGCAGGTGCGCCACTGAGCTAAATCCCCAGCCCAAGTTTGTATTTTTTAATTAAAAAGAAAAAAAAAATAGAGGCCCTGATTTCGGGCTCTGTCACCTTCCTGCCCACGCCTTCCAACCTCTACATAAACACACACCTACCTTTTTTCTGTGAGAACAAAAAAGTATGAATAATCAAATCCAAATATGTTTCAACAGAGGGGAAATGTCTCATTACCTTCTTACATAAGAACTTGAAATTATCACTACCTGTGATATTCCTGAGTAAATTGATGTCTTCGGCATCTTTAGTAGAGAAGAATGTCCAGTTAAGGACTGGAGCAGAATAGCTCAGGACAAATGGAAAAGGCTAAGGCCATCACCAGTAATCTTCCTTGGGCAACACTTAAGTGTCTCTGAAATAAACAGAGTTGATCTGAAAAATACTAGCTTAAAGGGGGCAAATCATTGGCCTGTCCACATCTTGTTCCTAGTTTCTCCATGATGACAAGTTTTACTTCTAGGTAAAATTAAAGTTTCCTTTTCATCATTTTCTTCTTATAAATATGGCTGTTTTCAAATTGGTTGAGTAATCAAAAAATTTTTCTTAGAAATTTTTGACTATGGAGTAGAGATGTAAGGTAACTTACAAAAATTTACTCGTGTGTGAGGCTGCCTATGATTTCCTGCCTTGTCTCTTGCCTTTCATTTATTCCTCACCCGGGAGGGACTAACCTAATTATGAGTTAAGTAACAACATACTTGTCAAAGGTTGGACACAGGCTGACACACCCTTCTCTTGATTTTGCTTCTTTGGAGATAGCCAGTTTCAAAGAACACCACTGCTCTAAGCTTAATAGCAAAGGCCTTGCCCCAGTGGGGTAAGTCAGCAGTGGTGCAAAGCTCCTGCTGGTACAGAAATAAGGGAGCACATTCACCAGTGTCCATTTTATTAGGAATAAAGGTGATATTTTAGCCATCATATGCCTTGTTTTTGTCCCCGCTGGGTTCAGACTTCAGTAGGTAAGAGCAATCACCTTTGTGGGGTACTCCTAAACCTCAATAGGATATATATTTCCTACAGATAGCATTTTGGGTAACATTAGAAGCTCCCATAGGAGATGTTTAAAAAATAAATTCTATTTCATAAATGCAAAAAAAACTATTAAAAAGTCTTTGATTTTTAAGCCAATAACACTCTTCTGTAGATGAATTTTTGTTACTGTTTAGTGGATGATAGTATATAAGACGTAGTGATCAAGTAAATCTCTCGTCTTAAAATTCTCACTAATGGGGTATGAATTTTATGAAACTCCCCACAAATGCAACAATTCCAAACATCTTCAGCAAAGTTTAAGAGCCAAGGATTAAGGATACAAATCATAACAATCATACCAGATCACACATTTGTCCTGTTAACCTCAAGCTGTTAGAAGAAAAACACACCACCAAATTGGGAGATTTTTAAAATATAATTTAAAACTATTTTGTACCAGTACAATATATTAATTTTACAAATGTAAAACTTTATCAGCTGTTAAAGCATTTGCAAAAACCACACATCCTACTTTAGCTTTATTGCACAGTATCTATAAGAAAATATTAATTTTTAAAGTAGAAAACATAAAAATGCTTTCATTATAGAAGAGATGATCTGATTTTAAAGACAGTACTCTATAAGAATGTCTACCCGGAAAATAACAAACTTTCACAGGATACCAAGCTGGACAGATACTTCAGCAAATCTGCTACAAAGCTCTGTGTAAAACCAGGCCAAGATACCTAATCCAAACTGTATCATCATTCTTCATTAGAAATCTAGACACCACTCAAGGTGGCTTCTTATACTTAAAAAGAGGCATTTTTCAGTGTGAGCATTCTGAACATCTCTTCTGTAAGAAGCAA